GAGGTAAGATATAAGTAGAGGCCCAAAGTCCATCTGCTTCCTTATTGCATTTACATATATGTACCATACATAAACAAGCATACACATTCATATATATATATATATATATATATATATATATATACTTATACATATATGCACATACACATTTATGTATATATTGGGTTTTGTTTTTTCCTCCTATCCCACCATTATGCTTGTCTGTCATTCACTTCTCAGTAATTCCTCTCAGATACAATTCAATTGACCACACATGCTCAGAAAAGCTACCCCCTCACGTGGTCTATTTTAGAACTCTTATTATTCCTCCATACCTTTCATTGCTTTATATTATTAGCTAGAACCTCCAAGACAATGTTGAATAGAAGTAGGGACAAAGGGCATCCTTGTCAGGTTGCCTTATTCAGTGGGCATATTTTCAATTTTTCTCCATTAATTTTAACGCTGGTTGTTGGTTTTTCTTTTTGTACATAGCTTTTATTATATTAAGATAATTTCCTTCTAATCCTGTCTTCTTCTTGAGTGTCTTAATTACGAATGGGTGATGAATGTTGTGAAACACATTTTCTGCATTGAGTGATATTACCATGTAATTCTTGTCCCCTTTCTTGTTAATTTGATGGATAATGTTGTTGTTTTTTTGTACTTTGAACCATCCCTGCATCCCTAGTATGAATCCCACTTGGCTATGGTGTATTATTTTTTTGATATGTTTTTGTATACTATTAGCCAGAATTTTGTTGAGGATTTTTGCATCTAAGTTCAAAAGAGATATTTGCCTGTAAATCTCTAATCTTGAGGGAACCTTGCTTGGCTTTGGTATTAGTGTTATACTACCTTCAAAGAATGTGTTTGGGAGTTTCCCATGCTTTTCTGTCTTCTGTAAGAGTTTGTGTAGGATTGGTGTCAGCTCTTCCCTGAATGCTCGGTAGAATTCTCTTGTGAAGCCAGCCATCTGGGTGGGGCTTATTTTAGTTCAGAGTTCCTTAACAATGTTATCTATTCCTTCTTTTGCTATGGGTCTATTCAGGTTCTTGATGCCCATATGAGATAACTTGGGTAAGGTTTGTTTTTCCAGGTATTTTTCCATGTCCTCCAAGTTGTTGAATTTATTGGAGCACATCTTTTCATAAAACTGTAATTAGTCTTTTAATTTCAATGGCGTCCATTGTAATTTTCCCTCATTCTGAATATTGGCATCTGTTTTTCTTTCTATTTTTTGTTAGGTTAGCTAGTGGTTTGTCAATTCTGTCAATCCTTTCAAAGAACCAGCTTTGCACTGAGTTGATTTTTCCATTATTTTTGTTTTCCCACTCATTTATATCCACCCTAATTTTTATAATTTCTTTTCTTTTGCCTTTAGATGGATTATTCTTTTGACTCTGTTTCAACTGCTGAAGGTTTTGTGCTAGCTTACCTGACAAAGGTCTCTCTTCCTTCTTCATATGTGCATTTGTCACCATCAAGCATCCTCTGATGACTGCCTTTGATGTATCCCATAGGTTTTGGTATGATGTATTCTCATTCTCATTAGTTTCTAGAAACATCCTAATTTTGTTTCTAATTCGGGCCATAACCCAGTCCTTTTCTAGAAGTACATTTTTGGCTTCCATGTAGTTTCCCTGGTTTTCTTTTTCTTTCTTTCATTTAATTCCAGCTTTATGGTATGGTAGTCAGAGGAGGAAGTTTGTGTGACCTCTATATGATTGAATTTACTCCAGCTTGATTTGTGCCCCAGCATGTGGTCTATTTTCAAATATGTGCCATGTGCACTTGAAAAGCATGTGCATTTCGTTGCATTTGGTTTGAGCATTCTGAATATATATATATGTCAAGTTGCCTGATTGTAGCCTTTTCTTCTGTAGCCTCATGGCTTAGGCTTCTGTCCCGTTGATATGTCTTTCTTGGAGAGCATTTTATGAGGTCTCCTACTATGATCGTTGATCCTGTGATTTCTTTTTTCAACTTTTGGAGGATTTGGTTGATGAACTTCGCGGGTCTCTCAATGGGCACATGTATGTTTATTATGCTCATGGGATCTTGGTCTACTGCTCCCTTAAGCATTATATATGTGCTCATACTTATCTCTTGTCCTGCTCCTTGAGATCTATTGTCACTTATTAGAATTGAAATGCCTGCTTTCTTTAGATTTCCGTTCACTTGATATACTTTTCACCATCCTTTAACCCTAAACCTGTGTTTGTCTGTGAGCTTGAGATGCATCTCTTGCAGACAGCAGATTGATGGCTGGTGGGCACAGAAAAGGCCTGCAGGCATGCGGAAGCTAGGGAAGCAGCCTGTGGACTTGAGGGGCCCAGGAAGTGACCTGCGGGTGTGGGAAATGGTTGACAGGTGTGGGAATCCCTTAGGAATGGTCTGCGAGCACAGGAAGAAGCCACTAGCTGCAGAGATCCTGAGATACAGTTGATGGGCACAGGAAAGGGCTGCATACCATGGCGTGTCAGGGTGGGGGTGGGCAGCTTGTGGGCTCAGGGAGTTGTCAGTGGGCTTGAGGAACCTGGGAAGCAGACAGCAGTAATGCATGGGTACTGGCAACTCTGGGAGGGTGAGGAGGAAGTGGGCACAGCAAGCCCAGAGAGCAGCTCTCAATGGTGCTTGGCCCCTGCACAGAAGGATGGAGTATCTGCAGAATGCCCCCAAAGCAGTGCCAGCACTCAGTCTCAGGTGGCTGTGGGAGAAAGAGGTGGGAGCAAATGCACCAAGCCCAGAAAGTGGCCATCAAGAGCCTTTGGGCTCCAGTGATCTTGTGGGAGGAAGAGGGAGCCACTCAAGGGATCCAGGCACTTTGGTAGGTGGCGTGGAAACCACCGGGTACGTTGGCACACGTGGATGGGGGATGGGCCATAGAGAAACACTGGTGCAGGGAGGTTTCTGGGGCTGGGGAGAATCAGAGTCCCGGCTGTGTCTTGCCTGAATGGGGAGGCCATGGTGGTTGCTTCACAAATGTCTCCATAGTGGGTAAAAGTAGTGGTATGTGTGTCATGGTTCGTACAGCTCAGCTGTCTGTGGGGAAACTGCTAAAAGCCCCCAGGACTAGGGCTATGTCTGAATCCTTCCAATCAGTTCCCTTCTCTGCAGAGCTGGCAACTACTCACAGGGAACTGCAGACAACTGTCCTACATCAGTGTCATCTTCCTGGATGTAAGGGATGTATCCTTATACTGATTTCTGATACTGTTAGCCTCTCTAATAACACCCCATAATCATGAGTATTGTCTGTGAGTTCTGTGTGGCCATTACAGCGGACGATAGGAGCCAGCAGAAAAGTAGAGTGTCATGGGAGGAATGGTTGGTATTAGAATGGAAAATCAGAGAGTCACGACTTAGACAAATCTGGCTCTTAGGTATTGTCGTTAGACAGATATGGAGTTGGGTGCTCTTTCTCATTTGTGTAGCCAGAGGAGTCAGACATGGCTCCAGTGGCATTTCCTCAGCATTAAAAGTAGAAACACTAGACCATATCATCCTCAGGTAGCCTTGTGATTACTTACTTTATGAGCTGCTACTTCTCCCTTTACTGAGAGTACCTCCTGAACTCCACAGACTGACCTCTCCCATACCCTGAAATAGTCTCCACTTTGTCTCTTCTGAGTTGCCCTTATCTTGCTCTGTTTTCATTGTTAGTCTAGTCCGATCACTTTTTATTTTTGAGAAATTCAACTAAAATACTGCTCCAGTAGTTTTGTTCTTTTACGTTTCTCTGACTTTGTATGTCTACACATATTTTTCGCCCAGACATTTTACTGAGAGTTGGAAATGCAAAATAACTAATCCCGTATCATCTCGAATAGAGGAGCATCTGTGAAAGCCATGCAAGCTGAGTGTGTAACCTGTGTCCTTGGTATTTATGCTATTTCCTAGAGGCCAAGAGAGTGTCATGTTCGATCAAGTACAGAAAGGAAATGGTGCTAACTGAAACGAAATATCTGTGAGATCCCATGTAATGTGTACTTAAAACTCCTGTAGCACATTAAAATTCAATGGATACACTGGTGTTTATTGCAACACTATTCACAATAGCCCAAAGGTGAAAGAAGCCCTAATGCTTATGAACTGATGCATACAGTTTTAAAGAGTGGTTATTGTTATTTTTGTTATTAGGTGGCATTGAATTGGTACTGTCTTGTAGTGACTTTATGTACAACAGAATAAATCATTTACCTGTCCTGTGCCATCCTCATAATTGTTTTTATATTTGAACCCATCAATGCAGCCATTGTGTCGGTCCATCTTGTGGAAGGGACTGGTCTCTCCTGACAACATGTCCAGAGTTCATGAGATGAAGTGTGGCCCGCCTCGCCTCATGCACTCTTACGGCCATAAAGAGGAATGAAGTCCTGATACATGTGACAGATGAACCTTGAGAGTCAATTACTGAGTGAAATAAATCAGTCTTTAAAGGGCAGATTGTATAATCCCACTTACATAAAATATTAGAATGGTCGTTACGAGGGGCAGGAGTTGGGTACAGAGGTGCGAACAGGCATTCATGGCATAGGGAGCACTGGGTTTCTGTTGAAGAGGGTTCAAAAGAATGGAAACGTGTAATGGGGATGTTTGCATGGCATGATGAACCTGATGAATACCACTGAGTTGTACATTGTGATGAATATGGAAATGGTGTTACATAGGTATGCTTAAAATGTAATGAAATTAATAAGTGGTCTCTCATGCATATCTGATGATATAGGAAGGCTTTGGAGAAAAAGTGGAATTCAAATAGACCCTTTATAAAGCAGTAAGATTTAGACACAGAGATAAAAAGAAGGGAATAAATAGGTAAGAATAAAAACAACAGATCAATAAGTAGAAGAACGCTTCTTGGAAAACCAAAAAGAGGTTTCTTTGACAAACACATTGAAGGGCATGTGAAATAGACTGTATGATCTTATAGTGAGTTTATGTGTAAGTCAAGCTTACCTGTTATTTTTTGTGATGCATTAAACTTATTTTTCACCGAGATCTTTTTATTTTGACAGTTTGAAACAGCATACGGAGAATGGTAAGAACCTTTCCTTCTCCTTTTACTGTTTATTTTTCATGTTGAAATTATTGAAAATTAGTCTGTTTTAGAGCACAGCTTTCTTTCATAAGAAACATAAGATTGAAAATAGGCTGATCCACACCAGCTATCAACATATCTTTTAGAATGCAAGAGTTAAATCAGAGTTATTCTAGTTCACAAACTGAGCAAGTGGATTTTAGAAAAGAAAACATAAAAACCAGCCTAATTATGTGGAATAATTTAGTATATAATATAACTTGCATTAACAGTCAATAGGGAATGAGTTATTTACTAAATGATGCTGAGACAATATTTAACTTTCATTTAAAACAGCAAGCAGGGAAAATACATCACATTATTTGACAATAAAATATATTTAAATGAACATTAAAGCATAAGAAAGAAAATATAATGACAACTTTCCTCACCTCAGTATAGAGAGACTTTTCTGAATAGTGAACGATCAGCCAGATCAATACTATGTGGCCATGGAAAATATTTAATGGCAATCAAATACACAGGAAATGATATTGTATGACTAAAACATGATGCAAAAATTATTCTCATAGTTTGATAAAAGTTAGAATCATGATCTATTTCCACTTTAATGAGGCAATTACAACTCCTAGTGACCCGATTGGATAGATCAAAGCTCCTTCATTGCCTTTCCAAGAAAGTATAGTGCCTCATCTTTCTCCAATGAATCTTCTGGTCGGTTTGAACTGTCAACCTTTCAAATAGCAGTCCAACACTGAACTCACTGGGCTACTGGATTTGCTTTATTGTCTGTAGTATCTACGAAGAGAAATTAATAGGAATAATTTAATATTTGCTCTATTTTTGGTATCCTTATAATTCTCTTAAATTAATTTATAATACTTACTTAAAACTGATGTATTGTGATTTTTAAAAAATTACAATGCAACTTTCCAGTTTGTAGATACTGATTTTCTCTTATCTCCAATCAGAAGAAAAGTACTAATTTTTAAATACGATAAAGAGTAGTTGGGGCTTCTAGATTATCACCAGAGAGAAGATGACAAATATTTCATTATTCAACATCTAAAACTTCAGTTAAAAGAAACTTCTAAAAGGAAATAACAATTTAACTGGACATTTTCTAAGCAATTTAATCGAACTATTTTCTAGACACCGTCAAAACTAACTCTTCCTGAGTGTCGATTTCCCTCTTTCTAATTTTCATTGGTTCTCCAGCCACCACTCAACTGACCTCAGAGGCATGGGTTATCCACATTGTCCTCCAGAAACATCTATCTTTGTGATAACAATATTCTCCATAGGAAAGACCTTTTCTTAAAAAAACAATGATTTAATATCTTTTTAAATGTTTAGATTATTTGTAATGAAAATTAAGTTTAAAATTATTTATCAATAAGAGTAAAGCTCATTTACCAATTAAAATGCTACCTTAACAATCTTTATATTTGGGCTAGCATGCCTAGTGTCACCAATAAACATTGAAATTTCTTTGTAAGAGAGAATATCACCTTAAATTTGATTTTCTGAGTCATAGTACAGCCTTCCTTTCCCTGTTGATTGCTTGTTGCACATGACGTAGGACTAGAGTGGCTCCTGCAAGAGGAGGGACAGAAGATTGGAGCACAGCAAGTATTGCTGCAATAGAGGGACCAGTCCAAACAGAAGAGAAAGGTAAGGCTCTTCTTTATACTATCAAAGAATATACATATACATCCATTCATTATGCATACATGATCACACCAAAATAATAGACATCAATATGGCTTTAACTTAATACAACTATATTTTTTTGAAATGCAATGTTGGGTGATTTTTGTAATTCCTCTGCCTGTATGATAGAGAGGATCCCTGGTTGCATAGTGGTTACTCCTTGAGCCCTAAATGCAAGGTCAGCGGTTTGACACTACCAGCCTCTCCACAGGAGAAAGATGAGGCTCTCTACTTCTGTCAAGAATTATGGTTTTAGAAACCCAGTGGGTCAACTCTTTCCAAATAAAGTCGCCATGAGTTGCAATCGAATCAATGGAGTGAGTTTTTTGTTTATTTATATAACAGAGAAACCAATCACTGTACCATCTGATTAAATATTCATTCCACTAGTTATGTTTTAATAACTCATGTATCAGATATTGATACATACACCTGAGTAGTTAATGACACTGGCTAAATGATCAAGAAGCTAATTCTACTTCATTTCTATCCAATTTAAATTTCAGTGATAATTGAAATGGCCTATATTTTCACATTATCAAAAGAGAAATTAGTAGTCATGTATAGTTATTGAGTACTTGAAATGTGGTTAGAGAGACTAAAGAACTGAATTAAAAATTTTTATTTACTTTAATGAACATACAGTTAAATGTAATAGTCCTATGTGGCTTGTGGCAGCCATATTAAATGTCAAAGTCTAGTGTGTATATAAGTTGGTTTAAATAGTTTTATAAAATGTAAAATATTTTCAGACTAGTATTTTGTGATAAGTGTATGTATTTGAGTATATTCTGGGGATTATATTAAACACCTTATACTTTCTTGCAAACCTCAGGCACTCATACATGCTAGTGTATACACACAGAAACACACAAATTTCTAAACCTCTTTAAAAAATGATACCTAATATATGAAGTATTTCTTTTGATGCAGGAAATGTAATTTTGTTACCCAAAGCTGTCATTTCTAGCAATACTCTGCTACTACTATTTCCCTTTTAAATATTTGTCTATAAGGAAAATGGAAAAGCCCATCTTTACTTCTCATGTTTTCACCTGACAAATGCTGAGAGATGAGTCTAATATATCGGCAGGCCCAGTTACAATTAAAAATAATATTCATGGACTTACAGTAAAATAATAGCCACAATTATAATTATTTTACGCATATACATTTGGGCCTGCCTAAAGACACAGGACAATAGCAAGATGAGGGAAATGTATTTAATTCAATATTTATGTTAAAAAATAATTGCAACATTTGCTCACTCAGTGGGTCAGCCAGTAAAGTTAATTCATATGTTGTCTGTAAAACAGCAACAACAGAAAGCTAATTGGAGAAAGATGTTAAATAGAGGGAATTAGAGTCACCTCAAGTTATCCATACCTAATGTTTCTTTCAGAATGTTGTTAGTGGATAATGAGTATGATAATCACCTGTATATCTAATCATATGATGGATCTAGTCATGTAACTGATGATATTATTAGCTACTTCTCCTGTGTTCCAGATGGAACTATGGCTATAGAAATTGAGTTGGCTGGAGAACATAGTGTTGAGTGAGTAGGTTTTCAGGAGAGAGATAAGGTAATTAATGATGCAAAGTATTCAACATGCCTTAGATCCGAAGACTTAGAATATAACAAAAGGTAACAATAGACCCGAAGAGATCAAATAGAGAACTGATACACAGAAAGATAAGTTTTAGGAATTAAAATAGGAAAATGTGCTTCACAAAAATTCTTTTGAGGCAGCCAGTATTATGAAAGTCTTTGATAGTCCTACTATATTAGAAGTAGAGCTTGTGACCTTTGAGTTTATAACCATATCATAATCATTATGCAATCCTCGTTTCTAGCAGAACCCCATTGTTTTTATTGTCTTAAAGAAGAAAAAAGAAGTGTTTTAGCTGCCTTTATTCATGATACATTTTTAATAATTTGTTCTCCAACCTCAGTTATCTAAGGACATTATCTTTCTTGAGGCTTGCTGTTTCTGCATTCTTGTCATACCCCTTTTTTGGCTAAAGCCACTGGTTGTCATTCTTAGGTGCCATAGTGACCTGAGGCACAACAGGACAAAAAACTGGCCAGTATTGTGCCATCCTCACAATTGTTCCCATGCCTCCAGGCCAGGGCCTTTCTCACGACACCTGCAACTTTAAAAGCATGATTTCCTTCTCCAAGATATAAAGTGTATTGTTTCTAGGAACAATTGAATTTGTAATATTTGTCCAATGTAATCATTATGATTTACTCCTCTGATATTATGGGGGAAAGCCCAAGTGTTATTTTCAAATGAACTCTGTAATACAGCTTGTGAATAGGACGTGGTTTTTCCTTGAGGAGAAAGGATATTGTTCATGAAAGCATAGGTTGATATATTTGGCTATTCTAATCACTTTATAAAATGTCCATTTAGAGATATTCCTTCAAAGGTTATGATCGCTGTTATGGTTCTGTTTTAATAGAACTATCTTTAAAAAGCTAATTCGCTTTTCTGAAATTATCTTATTAAAATTGGGTAGATAGAAATGTATTTATATCTATCCAATATTAAATTTATAAATATTGAAAATCTGTACTGTACCTAAGACATATCTTAGGTGTATTTATTAACAAATAGGAATATGTATTTTTATTTTAAGATGCAAAGTGTCCAGAAATAAAGCAGGAAATGGGACCATTGCTATCAGAGGCCATCCATCTTATTAAAAGCCTGGAAACTGACCGTGCAGAAGCTGAAGAAGCATTAAGAGTACAAAAATTGCGAAAGAAAAATATCACCACGCAAATTGATTCCTGGTCCATCTGGAGACTTGAAGAGCTCCCGTCAGCTGTGCAGAAAGGTACTACTGATGCAGACGGGTCACACTGCCTGACTGTTGACTGGAGAATCGTGTAGCCCAACCTGGAATATAGTAGCATCTCTCTCTCAGGGACATATTATTTAACAATCAAAGTAGGGCACTGTTGGAAGACATGATTGATGCTGGGCTTACAGACCTCAACTGCGACCAAATAAAAAACCAAACTCCCTGCCAGGGAGTCAATCATGGCTCATAGTGACCCTAGAGGACAGTGTAGAACTGTCCCTGTATGTTTCTAGGCCTGTAACACTTTACGGCAGTAAAAGCCTCTGTTTCTTCAGCAAAGTTAGCTAGTGCTTTCAAACTGCCGACCTTGTGCTTAGCAGCCCAATGCTCAACCACTACATCAAACCTGGACCTCCTGTGTTTAAGCTCTGTTGGAAGTTCTCTGGCATACAAATACTTGGACTGTGTTTTCTATAAAGGCTGCAGCTATTAGAAATTTCTGAGTTTGAGGTTTGAGGGTTTTCTTAGTTGGAAGAAAATACATACGTATTTGAGGCATTGTACTTTTCAGGTCTTTGAAAATTTAAAATACATATGCTATATCTGTTATTGATTTAAGCTATATATGCTATTATATGTGCATGTTACTATCTATGCTATTACCTACTTGTTCACTCATGTATTTTTCTATGCTACCATCAATGTACCCACCTTCATATTTTTTAAATGCATTTTTTATTTATTTTCTCTCCCCTCCCTTCTGTTACCTTTCTGCTCATCCTGACTTCGACATGTAAAAAAACAAAATCGTTTTCTTGATTTTTTTCGTTTATAATCATGATCTCATATAGCATTTATATTTATGGGATTGAATAACTGCTCATCACCACATCTTCCAAATCCGTCGATGTCAAGAAGTATTTAGCAGTTTCATCATTATTCTTTAGGGATACATAGTATTCCATTATATGTATGTAACAAAGTGTATCCATTCTCCCATTGATGGGCATTTTAGTTGTTTGTAGCATCTTGTTATTGTGCAGAAAGTTGTGAGAAACATGGGAGTGCATATGTGTCTTGTTTCCCTCCTTATTTTTTTTAATGGTATAGACCGAATGTAGAGGTCACTGGATTATATGGTATTTCTTTTCTTTCATTTAAAAAAAATCATTTTATTGGGGGCTCATACAACTCTTATCACAATCTATACATACATCAATTGTATAAAGCACATTTGTACATTTGTTACCCTCATCATTCCCAAAACATTTGCTCTCCACCTAAGCCCCTGGCATCAGCTCATTATTTTCCCTTCCCTCCCCACTCCCACCCCCTCATGAATCGTTGATAATTTATAAATTATTATTTTGTCATATCTTACACTGTCCAACGGCTCCCTTCACCCACTTTTCTGTTGTCCGTCCCCCAGGAAGGAGGTTATATGTAGATCCTTATAATTGCTTCCCCCTCTCTACCTCAGTCTCTCTCGACCCTCCCGGTATCGCCACTCTCATCACTGGTCCTGAAGGGATCGTCAGTCCTGTATTCTTTGTGTTTCCAATTCCCATCCAGCGTACATCCTCTGGTCTAGCCTGATTTGTAAGGTAGAATTGGGATCATGATAGTGGGTGGGGAGGATGCATTTAGGAATTAGAGGAAAGTTGTATGTTTCATCGTTGCTACACTGCACCCTGACTGGCTTGTCGCCTCCACGTGACCCTTCTGTAAGGGGATGTCCAGTTGACTACAGATGGGTCTTGGGCCCCACTCTACACTCCCTCTCATTCACAATGATATGATTTTTTGCTCTTTGATGCCTGATACCTCATCCCTTCAACACCCTGTGATCACACAGGCTGGCATGCTTCTTCAATGTGGGCTTTGTTGCTTTTCAGTTATTAGATGGCTGCTTGTTTACCTTCAATCCTTTAAGACCCCAGACACTATATCTTTTGATAGCCAGGCACCATCAGCTTTCTTCAGCACATTTGCTTATGCACCCATTTGTCTTCAGTGATTGTATCAGGGAGGTGAGTAAACAATGATATGATTTTTTGTTCTTTGATGCCTGATAACTGATCCCTTCAGCACCTTGTGTTCACACAGGCTGGTATGCTTCTTCCATGTGGGCTTTGTTGCTTCTTCCATCAGCTTGATGGCCACTTGTTTGCCCTGAAGTCTTTAAGACCAGAGATGCTATATCCTTTGATAGCCAGGCTCCATCATCTTTCTTTACCACATTTGCTTATGCACCCGTTTTGTCTTCAGTGATCGTTTCGGGAAGGTGAGCATCATGGAATGCCAGTTTAATTGAACAAAGCATTCTTGCATTGAGGGAGTACTTGAGTGGAGGCCCAGTGTCCATCTGCTACCTTAATACTAAACCTATAAATATATGCACATAAATCTATTTCTCCATCCTCATATATAAATATATTTACATTTTATATACCTTTATTTAGACTTCTATAAATTCCCTTTGCCTCCTAGCTCTTTACTTTATTTCCTTTTACTTTTCTCTTGTCCCACTATCATGCTAAGCCTTCATTTGGATTACAGTAATTCCTCTTGGTTACATTACCCTTGATCATGCCCTACCAGGCCTCCTATACCCTCCTCACCACCGATTTGGATCACTTGTTGTTTCCTTGTCCCTGGGTTTATTAAAACCACTTCCTTTCCCCCCACAGCCCCCTATCCCATGTCCCCCCGGAACTGTTGGTCCCATTGTTTTCTCCTCCAGATTGTTCATCCATCCTGTCTTATTTAGACAGATCTGTGGAGATAATAACGTGGACAAAAACAAGACCGTACAAAACCAAGCAACAAAAGAAAACAACAACAACAACAAGCCAATGACAAAAACAAAACAAAAAAAAACACAACACTACAACAATAAAAAATAAAAGTTTGTAGTTAGTTCAAGCACTGTTTGTTGGCCTTTAGGAGTGTTTTCTGGTTGAGTCTGATGGGGTGCCAAGCCCTGGCCCCAAAGTCTATTTTTGGTATTCTCTTGGGACTTCATTGTTCTGTTCCCCTTGCTGTTCTGTTCCCCTTGCTGTTCTGTTTCATGTCCTTAGTGTTTTGCCTCGGTGTGGTGGGATCAGACCGGGCGCAATTCCCACACTGTATCTCCAGTGTTGTCCCTGTAGGGCTATGGGTCCTTGAGGGATGTCGTGTCTCATAGTGGGGCTGGCCATATGGTCTTCTCTGTGGATTGGCTGCTCTGAGTGGGAATATTGTCATGAAGGCTTGGTGGGCCAGGATGTGCTCCACTCTCTCTTCCTACCCCTTCATTTGCTCCATCTGCTCTTATCACACATGTCCCTCTCCCTGAGCTATAGCTTCAGTGATATCCTCTGAAATAAATTCTTCTGAGGTGAGTGGCAGCTGTCCATGTAGTTGGGATTGGGGTCGACTCCTCAGACCTCTCCACTGGTTCCCTGCTCCATGTTTCATGTTGCTTTCACATCTTGGAGCACTGGGTTGAAGTATGGTTCTTCTTTCCTTGTGGAGATATAAACAAAACCCTCCCTTGGGTGGGTTGGTGCCCTGTTCCCCAACTACACCTTTCGTTTTTATTTTTTTCCTTCCCCACTCTCTGTTTTAGTTGGCTACCATATGTATCCCTGGATTTGGTCTGGCCCCTACCATACTACCTGGTCCTCGCCCCAGTATTGTTTATATACATTAGTTTTTTTCCTCTGCCCCTTTTGCATTTTTTTTTTAAGCTAGCCTCAGGGGACTCATGTTGTACTTGTCCTTTTGTGCTTGGCTTACTTCGCTTAACATGATTTCCTCCAGTTCTTCCATGCAGCGATGTACTTCATATGTTCATCACTGCTTTTTAGCAATGCGTAGTACTCCATTGTATTATGTACCACAGTTTTTTAATCCACTCATCAGTTGATGGAAATTTGGCTTGTTTCCAACTCCTTGCAATTGTGAACTGTGCTGCGATGAACATTGGAGCACAGACGTCTGGCCGTGGTTGGTTTCATACCTCTTCTGGGTATATGCTGGGTTGCTGGATTGTATGGTAGCTCGATTTCCATCTGTTTTAGATATCTTTAGATCAGTTTCCATAGTGGCTGTACATACCTACAGGTCCACCAGCAGTGGATGAGAGTTCCTGTTTCCCCACAGCCCTTCCAACACTTGTTGCCTTCTGATTTTTTTGAATTGGGCTATCTTTGAGAGTGTTAGGTGGTATCTCGTTATTTTAATTTGCATTTCTCTTATGGCTAAAGCTTGGGAACATTTTCTCATATGTTTATTGGCCATTCAGATTTCTGCCCCTGTGAAACTTCTGTTCAGGTCGTTTGCCCACCTCCTCAGTGGGCAATTAGTTTTTTTCTTTTTGGAAGCTAGCAGAGTATTGTAGATTTTAGTAATAAGGCTTTTGTCTGATGTGTCATTGCTAAAAATGTTTTTGCAGCCCTTGGACTCTCTTATTATTCTCTTGGTGAATTCTTTCGAGGTACACAGGTGTTTTATCTTCAGTATATCCCACTTGTCAATTTGTGCCTCCTCTATGTTTGTATGTTGTCTGTGGATTGTATGGAATTGTATTTCTATTCCAGGTTGTGTAAGGAGCTGCCATACTGCTTTCTAAAGTGGTTGTATAGTTTTCGAGTCCCACCAGTAGTACCTGAGGGCTTAATTCTCTCCACATTCTCTCCCGCAGGTTGTCTCCAGCTGTTTTGAACCTTGCTATAAGTGCTACTCTGATGTGGACTCTCATAATAGTTTTAATTTGCATTTCTCAAATGGCTAGTGATTGTGAGCATTTATTCATATATTTGGTGTCCTGTTAGGTGCTATTGTCTATTCATTTCATCAGCTCATTTAAAAAATAAGGTTAGCCATCTTTTTCTTGTTGAGATGCTGCAGTTTTCTATAGTTTCCTGAGATGTGTTTTTGATCCAATGTATCATTGCCAATTTCTCCCCCACCATGTGGGTTCTCTTTTTACTTTGAAATGAACTCTTTGGATACAAGCAAATGTGGTTTTAAGATGGTGCCATCAAATA